GGGGGTCACCCAGCACCTGAAACTCTCCCCACTGCTGCAGATGCTTTAGCAGATGGCCCTCTGTTTGCTCCAGCGAATGCGTTGCAGTTCTGTTGTGTGAGCTGCGCGTGGCCATCTTCAGATCCCCATCTATTGAGGTGTACTCTGGCCATCTGGGACAGCTGCGCAGGGTTCTCTGTAATGCAGGTGCCAAAACCTCTTAGCTGTTTCCTTAAGATCATCCCCGGTTCCTGCAGCGTCCCCACGAGGTCCGTGCACACCATGCCCCTGCTTTCCCCCTGCACCCCACCCCGTGCCTCCCAGACCCCCCTGGTGTTGCCCGCCGTCTGTGGGGCATCTGTGGGGCGAGGGGTCCATCTGATCATCCACTCAGAATTCACTTTTAAGGAGTAGCGTGGGGTGGAAGGGGTGGTAGTTTGTGAACTCTTGAGGAGCACTTATAACATTTTACCAAACTGGGTGGGTGTCCAGTCGCCTGCAGCGTTGGCGGGCCCAAGTCAGCTGGCAGAGCCGGGACTGGTTTGGGTTGCTATTAGGAGAAGATAGGAAGGGTCCATCCCTGCTCTCTGGCCTGGCCTCCCCCGTTGTCCCCACGCCATCCAGGGCGTTGTGGAAGCTGGAAGGAGTCAGGGCTGCTGCATGTTGGAGGCGGACGGTGCCGTCCACACAGCCCTGGGTGCTTCCACGCCCGCTGTCAGTCACCAACCAGGAACCCCCATACCTAGGCTCCGTGATGAAGTCACTGGCCCTCGGGGGTGAACTTGGCCTCTAGCCCCTCTGACCTCCCGGGAGCCTGGGCATCAGCTCAGAACTCCAGCCCTCTCCTCCTGCTGGGTCTTTCTGGTGGCCGCAGCCACCAGGGCACTCGTGTGATACAGGAGATCCCAAGGAGGGTGGGAGCTGTGTGACCAGAACAGGGACAAAGACCTACCTACCACCCCCAGATCAGATGTCGCCTGGTGGAGCCCCTTCCTGAGCCCCACGCCCTGTGGTGTTAGCTGGGTTTGTCTTTATGTGTGTCTGAGGGACTCTGCCCCCTGCTAGAGGGGACCCTCCACTCTGCGAGAACAGGCCCTGGCACCTAGTGGGTATGTGGGAATTATTTGAGAGCCTGTGTGTGTGTGTGTGTGACTAGTGATGCTGCAGGGTGGGCCTCACACCACTGGCCACCTGGTGACCCCTGCCCCCCTGCTGTCTTCCCCAGGTGAACCAGAACAGCACCTCTTCCCACCTGGGAAGCTCGTGATTTCCAGGTAGGTCTGCCCACTCCCCGGGGCTCCAAGGCTTCTCCGCTCAGGAGCCACCGTCCCCCCGGGAGCAGTGTCCACCAAGGTGGGCTGACCCAGCCCCCTGGAGGTTTCCATGGTGACAGGCTGGGGAGCTATTTATAGAAGGGAGGCTTAGTCTCCTAGCTCTGGATCAGGGATGGGGGAGGGAGGCATCCATGCTGAACCAGCCCTGGGGAGGGGGTAGGAGGGACCAGCCTGCCCAGTCCACAACTGGCATCCGGTTTGGCCCAAAGCAATCAATGATCTAATAATAGTCACAAGCAGTTCCATTCCAAGAATAACACCCGAGGCATCGGGCCAGGTACGGCTT